TCAAGTCTGCAGACAGACGGCAGGCGAAAAACCTTTTAAAATGCGTGTTGTCTAAATGGAGATTGGCTAAGCTAACGCAGTATATGCTCCGACCGTCCACACTCACAACAACGGCCTATACAGACATAAATAAAGCAGCGACTGTATTCGCCATGACACAGGCAGTCTGTGGTTTGTACTTGTTTAACTTTTGTCTAGTTTCTGAACAGATATGAGGAGCTGTGAGCTGTGAGTGCTAACAGCTAACGGCTGTGTTGTTTTTCTGGGGTTCTCATTGAAGATGACGTCACGGCTCCGCCTACACTGCGTTACTATAGATACTACCCCAGTTCCTAAACTGTAATGGAAATGCGCCATAAAGTGAGCCAGTCCTAACGAGGCCTAGCCATACCGAGCGAGGCCGTGTAGTGGAAACGCGCCATAACATCAAAAGACCAAAGAGGGCAGAGGTGAATTTCTTGCCTAATTTCCCACTGGGTGAAGATGGTACAAGCCTTGAGCGATTGAGACTCCAAATCGTAGATGAAGTTACGAGGAGTGATAAAAACCTTCCCTTGATTGAAAAGTTAATGCAGAGACTACCTTTGCCCTGCGGCGCAATGAGATCATCAATGATGAGCTACCTGTTGGAGAGATCCTGGAATGCTGGCCTGCCTTGAAAATGGAGTCACAGGTGAAAATATTGTATTTATTACCACTATATAATTATTTTGTGTGCCTTTGTCACTGATAACTTTGACATGTTTACTCAGTTTTAGCATGTTATGTTTGTGTTTATCTCTGCTGCCTTCAGTCCACATGTACATTGTACTGTGAATTAAATAGTCATTTTATATTTTGGCAGATTTGTGCAGAGTTTCACAGGATAACAAACCTCAACCTGAAGAACCACTTCTATGCGGAGTTGGATAGACATGCCCCCCGTCTTCAGAGCCTGTTCAGGAAGAAGGCGGCAAACAAAGGGAAGGTAGCTGAAGTTCTGAATCAGCTATTCGTCTCCTATGACCTCCAGGTGAGTCGGTTATGCCTCTTGGTGTTTTATTCTCATACTAGAGTGGATTATCTTTGTCAAAATGGTAATCTCTTCAGTCATAGAAGAGCCCTTTCTTGTGATATCAATTGTTGTGTGGCTATACTGTTTAGCATCCAAAGTAAAACAAAGATATGTTCTCACACTCAAGGAGCAAGGTGACGTCCATGTCCGACGTGCTGCTGTGCTCTGCCTGCATATCTGCATGAAGATGACTCCACGTTTCTGAGGCTGTGGCATGTAAGTCAGCATAATAACTGTTTTGAATGTATGTGACAGATCATCAAAAAATATAGTTTATCTTGTTACATTGTTTCAGGAGCTCTATCGCAGGAAGACAATTATTTGAATTTTTATAGTGAAAAAATTATAATAAATGATAGATTTAGTTTGAAAAGTATGAACTGTCCTGGTGTCATCAAAGCTTGATTCTGTCACTGAGGTTATATTACTCAAACATTATCTCTTGTGTTGCTCACATCCCATTCAGGTTCTAGTTCCAAGATTTGAATATTGCCATAAGAATTGTAATTATTGTAAGGTACACAATGGATATGTTGAATATAATCTCCCTTTACTTCACTACTTTAGGATTTATTTGAAAGCTCTTTAGGTTTCAGTGTTAAAAATGGGCTCACGTGATTTAATAAAATATACAATTAAGAGAGGGCTTTCTTTCCTGCAGCATCAGTGTTCAATACAAAAGAATCTCTAGTGTTCCCCATATTTTTGTATGTGTAGTAGGGAGAGATTATACTGTAAATATATATTCAGTTGCCAGTTTATTAGGTACAACTAGCTAATAGTAACACAGTCTAATACAGTGATACAATAAATCCTACCCTTATGAAGGTTATAAATGTTTTTTTGTAGAAAGCATTTATGTCAACTGATTGGTTATTTTGGAGGCTGAAGTTTCTGGGGCTGTAACATTATGTTGTGCAATGCTAATAGGTGTTTCCTTAACCCTTTAAGCACATTTTGTATCTTGTTAAAAAGAAGTTGAACTCCATCTGATTCAGCCAGCTCTACCATCTGGTTGACGTGCTATGCACAAAACAACCTCTAGATGTCACTGTGGTTCGAATAGAAAGCCCTTCAGCTAGCTTCCACTGAGAAAGTTGGCAATGCTAAAAATCACTGCTGAAGAAATCACTATTTTTGGTCAACTTTTGTAAGGTAACCATATCAATTTTGACACATTTTAGTGTCAGAGCACTGAGTGAACATATTTAGATAACTTGATGCACAAAAAAAGTTTTAACAAGGGTGTAATTATTTTTTGGAAAATATGCTCAACCAATCGGTGGAATTGGCTTTTTATGGTAAATTAGCAATATGACTTTTTCAGCGTTTCAGAGATGTTTTCCAATAAAATATGGTAAATAAATGGCTAGATTCATGGTAATATTACTAAATCTAGTACTGCCTTATGAGGCAGAGTGAAAGAGTGATAATAACAAATACAAATACTGTACTGTATATGATGATTCTTGAAAATGCACTTTTACCATAAAAGGCCAGCTCGACCATTTGGTAGAGGCTCATAAAAACAAAACTGTGAAAAATAAAATTATTTGTGGCCCATTTGATAAAAAAATGCAAACAAATAATTTTTCCATAGCTTTTTTTCTTGGTCTGGCAGTTAAAGGGTTAAAGCCACATTATGCACAAAACATTAGGTTATTTGATGTGATATCTCACTGATGTATTTTTTAGAAAACAGATTTCTGAGATAGCCAAGGCAATTTGGGGTAATGGGTAACGTTTATCTGTTCTTGTCATCAGGTGGAGCAGTCTGATGATCCAGACATAGAGGACATTGCGGTCGGACTTCTCATGATCAGTGCCAGGTCAACAGATACCACGCTCTTCTGCCCAGAGAGGATCAGAGTTATCGAACTCCCCACACTGGCTGACGCATTCATCCTGCTTTTTGCACTGACTTTTGCCCTGCATCTGAGCTACCCAAAAGACTTGGCCAACACTTTCGACTTCACCCAGAAAGTGTTGATGGGCCTGGATGAGGGGAACTTGAAGCCCAGGGTGTTGAGCCTGAAAAATGAGCCTTTGGAAGTATAATCCTACCAACAAAGTTACACTTTAACAATCACACACACACACTGTTCTCCTCTGTTTACATCCTGCTGCTTTACATCTGTGTTCTGTATTGCATTGACAGATTTGTTACTGTTCAGCTTCAAGTTGAAGGACTGTTTGTAGATGTTGTTTTATACTTTTATATGTATTGGGTCTTTATGGTCCATGTGTTAAATTAACACGCAGAACTGTTCCTGAAAATTGTGTTCACTCATAAGTGATGGTTAAAATACACACAGATATTTCTCAAGGCCCTAGCACTGTTTTTAAGGTATTTTTTTTATTTAAAAGAGTTATTTGCTATACTATATATATTTTGAGTTTTCTATATTGTCACTTAATAAAACAGTGATTTGCATTTAAATTGTCAGTGTTAAAGTGCTTTTGAATGTTTACTCAATGTTAACTTAGGGATTTTGAGTTACAGTTATCTGAAAATATTTATGTAATCGGTTTCAAAAAATGTTTTAAGTACTCTACATTCAGTCAGTTTTGACTACTAATCAATTGACGTTTTTAATTCATATCGCGTTTTATACAGCGAAAAGTTTTTTATTTAGAGATAATACAAATATTCAAGTTAAATATATTTGATTTTCATTTGTACTGTGCTAACAAAATAGCTACTTGATGTTTATATGTACAGTGTTAACACAAATTATTAGTTAAAAGAAACTTAATATATAATGTTTCTTTAACTTACAAACAATATGTTTGTGTCCCTTGAAAATTACTACTAAATAGAACTCAATTGATAAGATTATACTTTAACTTAAAACATTTCAGTTAAGGTATAAGTATTACTCAAAAACTTCTATGTAATCAGTTTCAAAGAAATGTTTGAGTTCTATTAACTTGTCAGGTTTTACAGTGTATTAGCCCTCAAGCTCATCTGCTCCTGGAGGCTTTCATTATTATTGTGGAACTGAATTCCCAAGAGGACATTTTCTGTTACAATGTAGGTTGTTGCGGGAGGCCTACATTCAAACTTTGGTATAGGAAATGACATGTATGTACAGTTATTTGTTTTGTGAGAACAAGTTATTTTGTTCTTTATGTTCTCACTTGTGGTTTGTGAGTGATGAGTGAGAGAGAGACTGCCCTTTGTACATGTAGCTGTGGCTGCCAATAAATAATGTTATTATGAATACATTTGCCTCCGAGTCCTGCATGAACTGTGAATAGACTGTATTTTAACATTGGTCATGGGGTACTTGGAGAGCCAACTATTTTCTCAGGTTGTAGGCCTACTTGGTGTAAAAAGGTTGAGAACCACTGGTCTAATAAATATAAAATCATTGCCAGTGTTATCAGTTGCAAGTGTGTATTTGTTGTAATAATGACGAAAATATACATTTCACAGTAATTTATGTAATTTATGTGCCGGTGTGTCCATGGTTTTGAGTCTGTGTGTGTGTTCAGTGCAGGCGCAGCGCCGTCTGCTTTTTGCAGTACAGTAACTAAAGTAGGACTAAGCATAGGCTACCGGTAGTTTCTGTAGACCTGTCTGCCCGTTGTGTGAGTGCACTGCGCGCATGACCTAATTAAAATAGCGTCCACCCAGTAAAGAAATCCCCACTACACCACTGTGTGTGTGAGTGTGTGTGTGTGTGTGTGTGTGTGTGGGGGGGGGGGGGGGACACGAGAGCGGAGGGTATGATGACGTGTGACGTTTAATCAGCGTTACTCATAACATGAATATGGGCGACACACCCGAAAGATCATAAAGTCAGGGTAAAGAATATACACCTGCTCTGAAATGTAGGTTACTTAAATGAACTTCCCCTCCATAGTTTCTGCACACTTATGTTTACGGAAGTAAATATATCACAGGGCTTTTATTTTGGAATGATCGGACCGGAAGTGCGGTGCTCATCGCACAGAGCCTGACAGCAGGTGGCCCGTCAGTCAGTGAGGAGGAGAACACGCAGCATCATGGCACCACTTGGTCTAAAAGCCATTGTCGGAGAAAGTGAGTTTATTATATTTCTAAGTATATTTGTACTTTCATACAGACATGTTGATATATAATCCATACTTGATTTGTTGTTAATTAGTTCAAAAGAATGTAAAGTAGGCCTAGTGAATGACGGGTTGTCCCTTCACAACAGATGAGGACTTGAGGAATAAGGCGGCTTGCATTATGTCTCTTTCTCTATGTTGATGGTAATGAAGGCCGATGAAGATGTGTTCAACTTTATTTTGGGTAGTGCAATGCGCATGGACGCACAGACCATGCGGCTTGCCTCTCAAATGTAAGTCAAATGGATTGACACACAAATATTTTCGGTGGTGTTTTGGCAAACTGGAGTGAAGTGTATAAAGACGGTTATAGAGCACAGTCCTGGTTTGGTGTAAATCCGGCCTCGCTAATCTTTGGCTGCGGATTAAGGGCTGTGACATCATTCAGAGCAGAGGAGAGGTTTCTGCTGCTCCCCCATCACTATGCGGGAGACATTACACACCATGGAGTCATTATTAATTTACACACCATGGATTCATTATTATTACACACCATGGAGTCATTATTACACACCATGGAGTCATTACACATCATGGAGTTGTTATGATGACGCAGAGCGACAGGTCTGTCTGGTCTCGGGACTAAAGATGTGTTGGATGAAATGGTACTTTCATGTGGGTTGCCTTAAGATATTTAATGGCTTTAAAATACATGAGTATTTAAAGAAGGCTTACTCCAGGTTTCTCTCTGTTTTATACACAGTTTCAGCCAGAGGTGGAAGAAGTATTCAGATGTTGTTCTTAAAGGGGACCTATTCCTATTTAAAATCCACCTTTTCATATCTTTTATACATAAACATGTGTCCCCTCTGTGTGAAAAGATTCTGAAAGTTCCAGGAAAAAAGATTCGCTCACTTTTTGTCCTGATCCATTTATATAAAAACCTGTTTGAAAATGAGCTGATCAGACTTTGGCCACTTTATGATGTCACCAGTGGCGTTTTCTCCTGGAGGTCAAGGGAAGCCAGGCTTCCCCTGTTTTTTCGGATTGTAGTTATCATTTTAATAAATAAATAAAAACACTTCGTTTAGTTTCGGGAATTCTTCTTTGCTGTGTGTTGCTGCCGGCCGATCACTCCCCCATTCTCATTGAGTATTTTACAAAGAGTGAAACAGCGCCCCTCTAGATGTTATGGTAAAACAGTAGATTGCACTCTCTGTTGCGAGAGGAGGCCAGCCGAAATTGGCTTCCCTTGGTGAAAAGAAATGGAGGGATTGACCAATCAGACAAGGCTCACGTCATGTCCCTGCCAACCTGTGATTAGTCAGAGCCATGCCAAGGGAAGCCAGAGGCGGCTGGCTTCCCTTGCCTCACAATCCAATCAAATCGCATCAACTTAGTGGTGCAGTGACGCGTCCTAAAACCCGGAAGTAAGCTGCGCTCGCGTTCCCTCGACAAAAAAGCAATGGGATTTCTCCATAGGATTTTGGAAAATTGCTCGAAATAAGGTCTGTGGAAAACGAACCTGTTAGATAAATGCACGTTTTGTTCAGCCGGATAATATCCACATGTCTACTCTACTTTTATAATTTTCGAATCATAAATCTAATAGATAGATAGATAGCGTCACTGCACCACTCTCACCGCCGTTAGAAAGTAGCAAGCAACTGAAGCAAGTGCAATTATGGAGGGTGGAGATTTGGAGTATTTAATCAAAAATAATTGTACTAAACTTCCGCTACAGCAGCAACTAAAATGAAATCTGATGACAGGCCAATGCCCAAACTGGAGCTGTGTACAGCGAGGAAAAAAGGAGCGAATCGGACGTAAAACGTTAAAGGTCTCCTGATTTAGTTTGTGAATGAATGCTTATTAGAGTTTCGTCTGGAGAGTGCGTGCGGACCTGTCGGTTAGATAACAGGCGTGTGTAAGTCCTGCATGATACAAATGTGTGTAAAATGATACCGGGCGCTGTAATCACATTAGCTATGCATGAATGTATTGATTATTTTAATTGAGCTATTTTTAAATAATTACTTTTTTACTCAAGTACAGTACTTGAGTGCACTTTACTGCTCAAACACACACATGCAAACAGGATATACAAATTAGGCCAAAAATACACACATGCAAAAAAAACATGTATTGATGGAGAGGTGAGGGTGAAGGGGCTTCAGTACCTGGAGGTGAACTGTCACTTCACCAAGTACCAGTCAAAGTCAACTTAATTGTCAATCTTTCAGTTTGTGTGTACAGACAGAGAGATCGAAGCACCGTTTCCCACAATCCTGAATACAAAAACAACTATATATAAAAATATGTATGCAAATATGTATGTACTAGGGGTGTAATGGTTCACAAACATTACCAGTACATTAACAGTACCGGTTTTTAGGTCACGGTTCGGTACGTTTTCGGTACAGCAGAAAAAACTAGAGAATGCAATTCCTGAAGAAATTGCTAGTGGGAATGCTTTATGATGAAAAGCTGACGCTGAATTGCTATGCTGAAATGTAATGTGTAAGAAGAAAGTGAAGAATTTAGATTGAAATGATACATGAACACTGGGGGCTTGAATGTGTGATAAGAGAAGAAAAGAAAGTAAAAAGGCTTGGAAAAGCAGCAGAATATTTGAACTGCAAACTTTTGAACTAACTTGATGGTGAATTATCTGTCGCCATGGCAACGGCATTTGATGACACCGCATAATACGCTTAGATGTGTTGATGGCTGCATCGTTACCAAACCTGTGAAGTTTTGGGCCATTTAGAGCATTTTCACTGAAGTTATGAGAAAACCGTGTTTCATGGTGAGCATTGTGTTGCCATGGCAACGGCATTTGAAGAACACGTGTACCGAACCGAAGGGCCCATACCGAATATTTTCGGTACGAATACGTATACCGTTACACCCCTAGTATATACCTATATATACACAATCAAAGACACATTTATACATATGCACACATTAAGACCTAAATAAAAGCACAACAATCAATATATACAAAAATAACAGTCACTTCAATATCTTTGAGAATGTACATTAGTGCAAGACTGTTCATAGCAGCGTTAAAAAAAAAAGTGTCTGGTGCTGGATTTGAGTGTCTGTGTGTGCGGGGTGTTAAAGTCCAGTGGGGGCAGGGGGGAGGGAGGGGAGGGAGGCGAGAGAGTTCAGCCTCCTGACAATCTGGTGGAAAAAACAGTTTTTTTAGTCGGGTGGTGCTCGACCTCCGGCTGCGGAACCTTCTCCCTGAAGAACGGAGGGTGAAGAGGCAGGTGGAGGGATGGGTGGGGTCACCAGCAATGCTGAGTGCTCTGCGGGTGAGGCGGGTGTTGTAGAGGTCCAGGAGTGATGGGAGTGAGGCACCGATGATCCTCTCTGCAGTGTTCACTTTGGGAGTGATGGGAGTGAGGCACAGATGATCCTCTCTTCCTCACTATGCGTTGCAGGGTCTTGCGGTTGGATGCTGTGCAGCTTCCGAACCACAGCGTGATGCAGCTGCTGAGGATGCTCTCGATGGCGCCTCGGTAGAAGTAGAGCATGCTCTACCTGCTCTCTTCAGTTTGTGGATGAAGTAAAAGCGCTGCTGGGCTTACTTGGTGATTGACATGGTGTTGTTGGTCCAGGAGAGGTCCCCGGTGATGTGCACCCCCAGGAATTTGGTGCTGCTCACCTGCTCTACAGCAGCACCACCGATGGTCAGTGGGTGGGGGTGTTGGGTGTAGGTTCTCCTGAAGTCGACAACAATCCCTTTTGTTTTCTCCACATTGAGTAAGAGATTGTTACCTTTGCACCACGTGGCCAGCTGGTTCACCTCCTTCCTGTAGTGGGTCTCGTCGTTGTTGCTGATGAGACCCACCACGGTTGTGTCATCCGCAAACTTGATGAAGTGGTTGGAGCTGTGGGTGGGTGTGCAGTCCTGGGTAGTGATGTGTCGGTCGCGAACGAGCCGATTATTTTGAACGGCTCTTTGGTACGAACGAGGGGAACCGAGTCGTACTTGGTGAGAGTCGTTCAATCGTTGGTCCGCACTCACTGCCTGCCAAAATCCACTCGCCTTTCAAAAAGCTTGATTTTGTTCCCCAAACGTATTCTGTGAAGACCCGCCCCTACTCTGATTGGTAGGTTTCAGCACGAGGAGTGAGGTGGGGTGGGTCTTAACGGAATACGCGAGAGAGAGAAGTCATAACAACTGGTACAGGACAGGTAGACGACGTGTTTTTCGGATGGAAAATGAGCCAAACGCGAAAACGCAGCAGCATTTGGATGCACTTCAACCAAAACCCAGGCAGTGATAAAGTGCACCATTTGTAAAGGCAAAATATCCTTTAAAGCAGGGTCAACAAATAATCTCCATCGCCACTTAAAAACACAGTAGGCCTATCTAATATTAAGAGTTGCATGAATTTCATTCAAGGCAAGGCAACTTTATTTACTTAACACATACAGAGGGTAAATTCAAAGTACATTCACTGACATGAATGACATGGATATGGCGCCACCTTGTGTCATGTTTACAATGCAGATTATTGACATTAGGTCTGGCAATACAGTCAATCATTATCCTGGTGATTATTTCGTAGATAAACCTAGTAACCCCGCCCCCTTTAAAAAAACGGCTCTTTTGAACGGCTCTTTGAAAGGAACGGAGCCATAAGATCCGGCTCCCTTCAAAGAGCCATAATTCCCATCACTAGTCGTGGGTCAGCAGGGTGAAGCGCAAGGGACTGAGCACACATCCTTGGGGGGCCCCTGTACTCAGTGTGATGGTGCCTGATGTGTTGTTGCCGACCCGTACAGATTGGGGTTTGGCAGTGAGGAAGTCCAGCAGCCAGTTGCAGAGAAAGGGGCTAAGGCCCAGGTTTGTTAGTTTGCAAACCAGCTGCTGTCCACACAACATATATATTATTTTGGTCTCCAGGGATTTCGAACCATTGAGCATCAATCTAGTTACCAAACTGAGCCCTCACTGAGCTACTGAGTATTTTACTTTATAATACAGCCTGCAAT